CTGTTTGTGTCTCTTTAAGAAAGGAGACAAACTGGGGGGGGCGAGGGTAAGGAGACAGGTGGAGTGTATATAGATGCTGCTGGGTGTAAGTATAATATTTTGTCTCCTTTTTTTCTGCTGCAGCGGTTGCTGCTGCAGCAGCAGCAACGCATGCAGCAGCTGCTGCAACAACCCCCTTATAAAACATTCATTTTTATTATAATTATAATACGGAGACAGCAGCAGCTGCTGCAGCTTTGCTGCTGGCGGCGGGAGAAACCCCCGAAGGATGTAGAGACACCCCACATCGTGGTATACTGCATGCACTGGCAGCAGCAGCAGCAGCAGTGTACGTATAGCCGAGGAGACACTCCACGTAAGCAAAGGGATCCACCAACTCCCTCTTGGGGATCGTCTCCAGTACATACATCCCACAACTCCCACCAGCACCAGCAGCAGCAGCAGCAGCAGGTGCTGCAGCAGCAGCAGCAGGTGCTGCAGCAGCAGCAGCAGGTGCAGCACCCGTAGCAGGTGCAGTTGGTGCAGCAGGTGCAGCAGCAGCATCACTAGCAGCAGCAGCAGGAGGTGCAGCCGCAGCAGGCGCAGCAGCAGCAGCAGCAGCAGCAGCAGCAGCAGGGAGGGGACGAAGAGACACAAGAGTGAGTGTCTTTACGTTGTTTGCTTTGAGCGTCTTCAGCGGAGACAGCTGCTGCAGCAGAGCCTCCACTGTTGGCGGGAACTGTCTCCTATCGCGGCACCACACTAACCCTGCTGCTTGCAGCTTGCTGCTGCTGCTGCTGCTGCTGCTGCTGCTGCTGCTGCTGCTGCTGCTGCTGCTGTTGTCCTGGTCCAGCTGCTGCAGCAGCTCTTCAACCCGCTTCATAGAACCTCCAATACACTCTTGGCTGAGATCCTGCTGCTGCTGTTGCTGCTGCTGTTGCTGCTGCTGCTGTTGCTGCTGCTGCTGTTGCTGCTGCTGCTGTTGCTGCTGCTGCTGTTGCGGCTGTTGTTGGTGTTGTTGTTGTTGTTGCTGCTGCTGCTGCTGCTGTTGCTGCTGCTGCTGCTGCTGCTGTTGCTGCTGATAAGGATTGGCGTCAAGACGGAAGACGACTCTGACGGGGGATGTGAAGGCTGAGGGTTGCAGCAGCTGCTGCTGCTGCAGCAGCAGCAGCTTTTGTTGCTGCAGTTGCTGCTGTTTTTGCTGTTGCTGCTGTTGCTGCAGTTGCTGCTGCTGGAGAGCGCCTAGGCGGAAGACCACCTTCACAGGTGGTGAGACCCTTGCTGCTCCTAGTAGGTGCTGCTGCTGCTGCTGCTGCTGCTGCTGCAGGTGCAGCAGCTGCTGCTGCTGCTGCTGCTGCAGGTGCAGCTGCTGCAGCTGCTGCTGCTGCAGCTGCTGCTTCTGCAGCTGCTGGTGCTGCAGCAGCTGCTGCTGCTTCTGTTTGAGAGCAGCAGAAAAACCACTGCTGAGAAGAGAGTCAATAACACTGCCACTAGCAGCAGCAGGAGCAGGAGCAGCAGCAGCAGCAGCAGCAGGAGCAGGAGCAGCAGGAGCAGCAGCAGCAGCAGCAAGAGAAGGGTCCAGAGCCCCGAGCTGGAAGACTTGTGGGGCGGAGGGATAAGAAGTATCATCAACATCTGCTTGCTGCTCCTGCTGCTGCTGCTGCTGCTGCTGCTGCAGCTGCTGCTGCTGCTGCTGCTGCAGTTGTAGGTGTTGCTGGTGCAGCTGCTGCTGCCGCTGCTGCTGCAGCAGGTGTTTCCTATGGAGTATGGTGTTGGCTGCGTGGTGTGTGTTGGGATCGAGCGGCCTGAGGTGTGGGGTTTTTGTGGGGCCGGGGGAGAAGACGATCCCAGCAGCGGAGACATCGATCCTGGCGGTCCCCGCAAAGACAAGAGGTGTGGGGTTTGTCTTGAGGGGAGGAGACAGCTGCATCGATCCCAACACCTTCTGCTGGCACAGCCCCAGCACCCCGTCAGCTAGAGGCAACCACGAGGAGACAGCTGCTGCTGCTGCTCCTCCTGCTGCTGCTGCTCCTGCTCCTGCTGCTGCTGCTGCTGCTGCTGCTGCTGCTGCTGTTGCTGGCATGCAAGAAACTCTCAGCCGCAGACGGAGACAGGAGACAGTTGGTGTTGCTCCTCTCCTCACACGCAGGGGTACATACACCCGAAAAGGAGACAGACACCCCACAGGCAGCTGCAGCAGCAGCCGCTTCGTGTCTGTCTCCTTTCTGTCTCCCCCAATACTCTCAATCCCTTTGCTGCTGCACCCCAAACCTGTCTCCTCCTCCCACCAGCTTTCTGTCTCCTTTCTCTTCCCTAGGGGGCCCCCGGGGGGCCCCCCCACGGGCCCCCCCACGGGGCCCCCTGGCTTGGTGGGTTTAATAAATGGTGCTGCAGCAGGTGCATGCAGCTGTTCCTCTTCATCTGCATCAGCAGCAGCAGCAGCAGCAGCAGCAGCAGCATTTTTAATCTGTGCCTTTGCTCCCCTCCATATAACATGAAGGGTCTCCTTTTGGGGGGGGAGAGAGTGCAGCAGCAGCAGCTTTCTTGCTGCTGCTGCGGAGACAGCTGGGGCCCCCTCCAACGGAGACACCTCAAGAGACAGGGCAATCAACCAGTCTCCTTTGTGGGGTGTTTGTGTGGCCTTCACAGGCAGCAGGAGACTGTCTCCTCCTGCTCCTGCTGCTGCTGCTGCTGCTGCTGCTGCTGCTGCTGCTGCTGCTGGTGTTGGTGTTGGTGTTGTTGTGGTGTCTTCTTGGCTCTGTCTCTGCTGCAGTTTTTTTTTTTTTGTCTCCTGCAGCCGCAGCAACCGGGATCGTCGATCCCAGCTCTTCACTGCTTCTTGCAACAGAGACAAACGGAGACGAATGTCTAGACACCTCAGCTCCACCCCACAAACACAAACATCTTCTTTATAGC